AGCTTTCAACTGAAAGTATTTATTTCTAAATATTTCTATTCCTACCTCTCTTGCTTTTTTGTATCATTACAATTTAAATTGAAAACCTGAGTAGCATACTTCAACCTACAGATAACTGGTCTGCGCTCTACCTAAGCCAAGTAGCTAAACATTAACCAGTGAGACCCTGCCATGTGGACTACATGGCTCCAAGTTCCCTTGTAAATTAACATCTCAAATGGGAGGTAGTGATAGTAAAGTAATGCTCGAAAGCTTGTGTTTGCAATTATTTGTAATTATTAATGACATATAAATATACTCATTAACTCATTCTCTTAACCCTGACGATTGTTGTCTTTGATCATGTTCTACTCCATTACCTATGTTATTATTTCTAAACCTTGACAAAAATCTTCTGTGTGTCAGAGCTGTGTAGAAGTGAAGAATGGATAATTTCATTATGATTTTTTTTGTGTGTAGAGGTATGTATTGCACAGATCTTATCGAAGAAATATAGTATCCCATTCATTAAAGGAGTTAAAAGAGTAAACAACTTTAAGAAAATAAACCAGGCAACCATCTAGATTGTTGAGTTCTATTTGATAATATTTAATGTGATAACTTATAGATTTTTTTCCAGTTACTTCGGGGAGAAATGTCTAGTGTTGAGGCCTTGAATTCTTTTCCAGTATTCTATTTTCCAGCTATGATTAGTCATGTGATGGAAACAGTCATGTTTTTAATTGTTCTTTCTGTCCTTTTATAAAAAGCTACCTCAATTGAGAATATGAGTGTGTCTTTCCTAGTTTCCGTTCTTCATCAAATCCATGCTATTCGATATATTATTGAGCATCTAAGAAGGAATAGTCAGAGCACTTGGCTGGGAAAGTCACCAATGGAGTCCACACAAGACATGGAATCTTCCTCCCTAGGATTCCCTTGTGTTAACTAAATAAACACGAAGCCAGATGTCATCATTGAACCAATAACATATTTGAAGAAAGAACAGGATAGGAGTACAGAGCAAAAATCAATATGCTGGAAATCTGAAGGAGTTGCAGGAAGAATTAGTGAATTACATAATAGGAAGCCAGGAGTCCAGCAGATAGAATTGGCATCTGTGAAGTAGAGAGGATCGTTTGTCTAGTTGAGGACTGAAAAGATAGAAGGCCAACGTGTGGAAGCCTTACAGTAGACTAGAAAGGGAAGGTGCACGTACAAGAGTTATGCTGGCAACCAGAAAGGAATTTCGGCCTTCTCCTAAGGGCAGATCCAGGCTCGTAATTTGGTGAGCGTAGACGCAACAACACGAAATATTGAGGGACTGCTTTTCAAGTGATTAATGAGTGGGGAGAGCTCGGTGGGCTTATTACTGTGCTCTCAGCAGTTGGAGCCAAGGTGGAGGAGAATCTTGAGACGCAGGTCTTCGAACACCTAGGCCAAAACAGTGATACCTAGTGTTCTATGAAAAAATTGAATCTAGTTTACAACGTTTGGGTGCGCCATATTATCCTAACGTACTCAAGTAGGCAATTTAGTAGATCACTAAGGAGCCAGGAAGTGTCGTTTCCCACTGCTCCTTTAAGCCTGGCTGGACAGAAGTGGAACCATGCTCAAAAAGAAAAAATAATCACTAAGAATTGATGGACATGGGCAGAAGAAGTAAAACCCAATGTGGGACCTTTTAAGTGTTCCCTTCCTATCGGAGCACAGTCACCAATCTATCTCCTGCCCAAGTGCAATGAGCATAAAATTTTAAAGTAGTAGAGAGAGGATGATTGATTGGCCACTGACATAACTAATCTACTTTCCCAATCTCCTATTAAACATTTTATTTGTCTCCCCAGATCAGGCTTACATATGTTACTTAATTGAGATCGTAAAGTCATGTGCCTAGATGATAGTTCCATGACCACCATCTTAATCTTAATTAGTTGAGTTCAGTAGACAATGTGATTCTGCTGGACCCACAAGCTGGTATGGTTCCACGTTCGTCCTGCGTTTCTCTCTAGGTTCATAGCTTCCCTATTATTATGTACTCGTCCGTATTATTCTTATTGACTTTGATTCTCTATTGGTGAAGAGAATTCTTCTTATTTATATCTATTGTCTTATGAGACTGTGCCTCTGGATCTGGGGTGCAGGTGCATTTTTGCCTAGAACTTTACTAAGTCATTTATCAATCTAGATCGCCTTGTTGATCCCTTGGTTCAGTGATATATCTCAGCAAAATGAGAGCTCGATTTCTTCTGGGCGCTCTATCTCTCTTAATTGCTGCGCTGTCTGAGGTGCATAACAGAGGACTTCAGCAGTGGAGTGAATACAAGGATGGGATCAGTGCAGAGAGCATGACCTGCCTTTGCTATGAATTGTAACTGCTTCAATTTTCCCTCTTTATATATTGGGCTGTGTTTTTCTTATATCTTTTTAGGTAAAGCCCGCCTATGCCTATTTTGTTAATTCTAATCATAACAGGTTTTCATTGTGTCAGATGCCTGTTCTGGTGCTATTGAAACATCATATACACTATAGTAATACGAAACAGCTTAGCAAGTTGCACAGAACAGAACATTGGACCTGACGAACAGAGAAACCCAAGATATAACCATCTATATAGGCCATTCTAATCTACAAGCAGACAACATAACACTGGGAATAATAATCCTATTCAAAAAATGTGCGGTGGAAAACTGAAGCCAGCAGTAAAAGGCTGAGGCATTAATCCACACCTCGCTCTCAACAAAAAATCACCTCATGCTGGAACAGACTAAACCTAAGGTATGTAACTATTGAGAATTCTAGAACAAAAGAACATGGATATGATCTCGTAAGAACATTGGGCCGAGGCAAAGAATTTCAGAAGAGACCCAAGGCTATATCACAATACGCAAACCAAAAATAAATAAATGACCTATCAAATGAAAACGGTCCTGGCAACAAAACATCCATGAAAGCAAAAACAGACAAGCCTACAAATGGGAGAAATTTTCACATCTACAATCTGATAGAGGAGCTGATAACCTAGATCTACTTAAACCAGAAAACGCAAGGGGAAAAAATCAAGACAACATCAAAAAGTGCAAAGAGGCAGATACAGAAACTTTCCAAAGAAGACGATAATGGCTAACGACCTTATGAATGAAAAGATGGTCGGAAGACATCCCTAATCATCAGAATGCAAATCAAAAACCACAATGAGGATATACTTATCATAAGATTGCCTTTATCAAAAAGCCCAAAACAACAGGATGTGGTGGTGATTCGAGAGATAGAACACTCTATACTGCTGGACTGCATAACTACTTCAAGTACCCTATGGAAAGCAATATGGGATACCTCAAACGGATTAGCAATAGATCTACCATTTGATCCAGCAATTCCTACGGCATCTACCCAAAATATTCAAATAGCACTCTATAAATATACATCTGCCTCGAGATGTGTATAGCATAAGCAGATCACAAACAAACTATGAAAAACAACCCAATTGCCCATCAATTCAGATATAAGTATAAATTGTATATGTGTATACCATGGACTACTATTCAGCTCTAAGAAGCAATTGGTGATAATCGCACCTTTTATTAATCTGGATTGAGAGCTGAACCCATTACTACTAATGAATATCCAAGAATGAAAAAACAAGCATCCACATTACTACCAGAAATTTGAGTAACTGACAACACCAGAGTTAACATATAGAATAACGCAGTTATTGGTCAGCGTATGGAGTGTATGAGGGATGCTATAAATACATAATGAGGTCTGATGTCACAGTCTTTGAGAGGCAGTCTTGAAACTCTATCTGGGGAAGCGGAAAGGCAACCATTAACCTTTAAACATTTTATCCATAATATTGAAAAAAAAAAAAGAAAAACAAGGTATATTATTAGGGTGCTGTTGGAATATGGGACAAGTAAAGAAATATTTTATGTGCCCGAACAATTCCTTAGGTAAGTGCTATAAAATGTAAGAAATTTCTTCTATTAGACCCTAATAGTTTTATTGTTTGGTCATACAATCAAGGCACTTAGACAATATCACACAATGAAAAATTAGAGACAGAATGAGGGTTATCTTCATCGCATATTTTAGATTGTTAGGCACCAAGACACATTGGATCGCTTGAATTAAGATACTTTCAGTCTAACAGGAGAAGCAAGCAGACTATATCTCACATGATACCACAATCTAGTAGAACAATACGGTTATACCTATCGGTTTGGAGAACTATACACCTAAGAGGTAGTAACTAGGATGTCAGATGCAAGCAGAGATGTTAAGCAGATGTGGCCTAATCTTAAAGATAGAGAACCAGAAGAGAGGTGGATAAAGTGAAGACCAGGAGTTGCTAAAGTAAAGGCTGATGAGATCCGCGAAATATTCCATTTCAAATCTTGAATTAAGGAACCAGTTTCACTATTGGATAGTGACTCCTTACAGTGAAATTATATTACAATTGCTTAAAATTGATAGGATATTCAAGAGTCTCTGCCCATCTAGAAGAGATGATAGAAATGTTCATTAGAATTAATATACATTTGAAAGAGAATCTGGTGGATAATTGTGCTGAGTTATTTTGGCATCTTGGTTAGACTTCATGAGGGAAGTGGAGTATTATTGAACTTTAAAAGATAAGAGTGAAACTGCTAGATAATTCATAACCATTATTATTACCTCATATCTATTTCTGTTGCTTCCTAAGATATGAAGTAAACTGAAAGATTTATCTAAGGGGGAAAACAGAAACTCTGTCTCTGACATGCAATTCTATTCCAAAGCACAATTAATTACAATGGATTAACAGTGTGCTATGCAGTTATTATAACTGGACAAATCCATCTGGGTTTAATTTAACTTGAACATATTCTAAGGGTTAAAAATTTTAGGAATGGGTTAGAAAAGTGTTAGTCTTAAAAAGATTTTAATGCAAATATTGAAAAAAATTATAGTTGTGATTTTTTTGCACAATTATATTAAAACTCAACCACTACACATAGTACAATGATGAATTTACTTACCTAGGTACACAAGTGTTGATTCTTTAATTGCTTGTTGTACAGGCTCAGAGAGGAAAAAACTAAGTACACAATCACTCTGAAAAAGAAGGTGAAATATAATATTTCTTCATTTCTTCTATTTATTTATTATTCCTATTCACTATTACATAAAAACATTGCCATATGTTATTTCAAATAGACACCTGTTATAGATTCCATAGAGAAAAATATATTAGCAAGTTGTTGAGTCAATACTATCATTTTACCATAAGTTAAACTAATCTTTTGTGAGATTGAAGGTCTGATTACTTTTCATTTCTTTAAGAGGTTCAAGTGTGTTCTGCTCTTGGAGCTCACCATTCTTGAGTTTTACAAATAAGCATGAATTTCACATCTCCATTTTCTGAAGATGGTGCATCCTTGGACAAGGCTTTCTGAGAAAAATTACTTTCAGTAGGACACAGATGCTCACTTTGTGAGTAACCATTACTCCTCAATGTCCAATTTTTAAGAAAGCTCACTGAGTATTGACTTCATCTACAGCTTTGAGAAATGTTAGGGGATATTTGGAGACAGGAAAACGTATAAGGTTGTCTCTCTCTTTAGAACACAGTCTAGTGGAGGAAACAGATTATATTCAATCCTTTAACAGAAATTCTAGGCTGGGCACGATGGCTCATGCCTGCAATCCTAGCACTCTGGGAGGCCGAGGCAGGTAGATCGTTTGAGCTCAAAAGTTTGAGACCAGCCTGAGCAAGAGCGAGACCCTTTCTTTACTAAAAAAATAGAAAGAAATTAGCTGGGCAACTAAAAAAATAAAAAATAAAAAAATTAAAAAAATCTATCTATCTATCTATCTATAATTAGCCGGGCATGGTGGTGATGCCTGTAGCCCCAGCTACTTGGGAGGCTGAGGCAGGAGGATCATTTGAGCCCAGGAGTTTGAGGTTGCTGTGAGCTAGGCTGATGCCACGGCACTCTAGCCCGGGCAACAGATTCTACTTATGTCTAATTTTAATATGTACAAAGAAGAAAGTGTGCTTCTTTTTTAAATAGGGACAATCATAAAGAAATCGACATTAACCGTAAATAAATCGACATTGAACTTCAAATGAATGACTAACTGGTGAATCTGAGAATAGCTTTTCCTTAATGAAACGGACACACATTCTGTTGTAAGCCATTATACAACCAAAGTAACCTTCCCCATAAGACTTTACGTTATTATCTAAAGGGAACCACTGAATAATTGATTATTTACTCTGACTACCTATCATGGGCTGATGCTATAGTAGCTATCGAAGCTGCCCGACAGTCTCCATGGCCAGCCTTCTCTCTCATTCTGTGCAATGGCTCTTTCATATCTTCCCCAGGAAACTTTAACTTCTAGCTCTCACTCCTCCTCTGCCACTGACTTTGTCCACACTTTAGAGAAAATAAAAGGCAGATAGAAACTCCTAAACTTCCTGCTTTGAAATCTACAGGCTCACACTGCTATACTTTTTCTTTCCTTCCTGTAACAATGGAAGAAATGTCTCTTCCCATGTGTTACAGATTGAATTGTAAACCCCCCCATTCATAGACTGAAGTTCTAACCCCTAATACCTCAGAAGATGATCTTTTTTGGGAATAGAGTCCTTGGAGATGTAATTATTAATACTCAAGTTAGAATGAGGTCAGACTGGAGAAGGGCAACTCTCTAATCCAATGTCACTGATGTCCTCATAATACTGGCAAGTTTGGAAACAGTTGCTCATAGAGGAAAGACAATGCCAAGAGATGTAGGGAGAAGATGGCCATCTATAAGCCAAGGAGAGAGATCTGGAATCTGTTCTTCCCTCACAGCCATCAGAAGGAACCAACCTTGTAGACACCTTGATTTCAGATTTCTAGCTTGCAGAAATGTGAGACAATAATTGTCTGTGGTTTCAGCCATCCAGTTTGCAGGACTTTGCTATGGCAGCCCTAGAGAACCATCCAACGCTGATCCCTTTGTCTGTGTTCTGGTTCCTATTCTTTCCTTCTGAGGAACCTCGTACAATATTCCCACCTACACTTTAGCATCTTCACCCTCTTCCTTTTCTTCTCATCAGCATAAAATATGGTCAACTCTATCCATTTTAAAAGCTAGCAAACAGATGATTCAAACCACACAAAGTATATTCACATATAAATAATATCTTGTCATTGATGCACCTTCCAAATCCTGGGTTATTTTACTCTTTTCTGACACAAAGTTATGGGAAGAACTGTTGGTGCTCACACTGGTTCACTTCTTCAGTTTCTATTCACTGTGTGATAGACCACACTCAGGTTTCCACCACTAATTGTCCTCTGAAAATGCTCTTGTCATGATTTATAACAGCCTCTCTCTTTTTACAATATTTTTGTTTTCCAAATCCAATGGGAATTTTCTTAGTCCTTACATGTCTATTCCATTTTTGGTGAAATGGTTTCTTTCCTTTGCTTTTATGATACCAGTTTCTTCCAGTTTTTTTTTTTTCCATTTGCCCTGTCATCTCTTCTTAGACTTTTCTTCAGACTCCTTTTCCTTTTGCTTATAATTTAAGTTTTCGTGTTCCTCATTTCTAGTCCCATCTCTCTCATTCTTCAAATGCATTCTTTGTGGGTCATGTTATCATCTTTGGTGGCATCGCTAGTGATGCACAAATCTAAACCTTTATCCTGGATTTTTATCCGGGATCTTGGCCCTCTGTATCAAAATACCTCTTTAGTGGATTGCTTGCCTATTCTAAAGACAATTCAAACCCTAAAAGTGCACCACTAAATGCATTTTTCCCCTCTACTCAATTTGCTTTTTCTCATGTGTCAAGGTTACAAAATAGGGTTTATCTTCTGTTTTTCTCACATAAAATTAGTTGCTAAGTCTGTGGACTATACCTCCTAAATACCTCATCTATTCATTTCTCCACTCCAGGTATACCACCATCTTTCTAGTTCTAGCATCAATTCCCACGTAGGTTATAGCAGAGGTTCTCAGATCTTATCATCCTACCCTTTAATCCAATCCATTCTCTACACAATTGCCAAACTAACCTTTCAAATTGAAAATCTAACAATTAACTGCTTAAAACCTGCAGTGGCTCTGCATACTCTTAAGAAAAAGATCAACTGCTTAACAAGGCTTGTAAGACTAGCCTCAATAGGGATCTTGCTCATTTCCTCATCTTTATCTCTCACCATTTCTCTTCTGATGCTTTATGCTTAATTATGCTGAATTATATTTATTTCCTCAAATGCATCATTCTCTCATACCTTCTGATCTTCCTACATGCTCCTTCCTCCTTCCTTTTCACCTCTATTCATCCATTTGCCAAGGCTATCATTGCTCTTTTCTTTATTATTGTTAGCCTTACTTACTCATGCCTAATCCAGCATTTCCTTTCAATAAATATTTGTTAAAAGAAACAGAGATCTGTCTTCAGATATAGAATACATTGGTGTCTAATGCAAATGTTCTTATCTAAGTAGTACTTTATGCATCATTGTCAATTGCTAATTTTCATCTCTACATATTGATCTCTTGTGAACTTATTTAATAGGAATCTACTCTTACAAAATGGATCCACATTCAGGGAGCTGACCAACTCAAGTTTTTTTTTTTTTTTGAAAGCTTAAAATCCAAACTCAGACTGCTGTGCAGAATCTGTTGAAATAAATTTGACCATTTGACCTTCTTTGGCCTTTTGACAACTAGTCAATTATTTGTCTTTGGCAACATTTTGATCTCACTACCTAATGGTTGTTAAACTTCAATAGTAGACAAGACATCTTTCCAATTAGTATCTGAAATGTCACCACTAGCTGATTATTCCCTTGTGTTTACACTGCCATATCCTTCAAGTTCTCATTTATAATTCTGAGTGTAGGTAACTAAATACTAATTTTTTATTGTAACAAAATTGTTTTCTTTCCTGAGGATAAATATGATCATTGAGATGAAGGGATAAATCAATAGAAGAGATAAAATAGGTACAAAAATTAATATTGCTGTATCTTAAAATAGTCAATTTTTAAATTTTCTTAGTCTTGACTTTATTTGGATGTATGCATCCCACAGCTTTTTAGCCCATTGCATCACTAGATAGTCTTGAGATTTATAGAAATGTTAGTGCTACAATTGCTCTCACTAATGACCTATACCAGTGTTCTCAACTGGGTTTTTACTGACCTACCAGTAGTGTCATGACATTTAGTTGTGTAGGTTGTATACTGCACAACTCTAGGGATGCCATTTTTATATTGACTGTGATGTACAACCATATGCAGCAGGGCTTCCCATATAAAGGGTTGTCAGATGCAATAAATAAAAACAGGATGCCCGTACAATATTTGAGACATACTTTTACTAAAAAATTTTTTTGTTTAATGAAAATTCAAATTTAACTGGGTGGTCTGCATTATATCCAGCAACCCTAGGATAGGAGGTGTTTGGAAAGTGTGTGGTCATACTTCTGATTGTCTCAATGACTGGAGGATACAACTGGCAATTAAGGCCACTTATCCTAAATATCTCTAAATACCTACAAGATTCTCACCTTATGAAGAATGCTGCTTTTCTGCTTAATTCCTCAAATGATTATAGTTTCCCAGGTAAAAACTCTGAATTTAACTACTTCATTCTCAAAATGAAAAAACTGAACGCCAGAGAGAATAAGGAGTAAAATAATTGGAAACAATACAAATAAAAGACTGGTACAGTGTGGTCAGTAAGCCCAGGTTCCCTTATGTGACCACTGCAAATGGCCTATAGAAGAGTGCAGACGGGGGACAGGTGGGAGGCAGCTCTGTGGGGGTCCTACAACATGCTAATCTTCCGTGTGAGCTCAAAGCTAGTGTGACCCAGGCATGAATTTTAAGCAGAAAAGCATCATGCTCATATTTGTTTGAAGGAAAGATGACAATGTAACATTGAGAAAGAAAGGATGACAATAAGCCCTGGAGAATGTCATCAGCAAAATCCCTTATATGCTCCACATGTTGTATTCCCTGAGCATCCATTCTGCGCCCCTGTTAAGTCTCCGGAATGATAGTTGTGCTCCCTCCCAGTCCCTTTGGAAACCTAGTCCCAGAGGG